TTTTTTCATTTTTCATTTGAACCAGGATCTTTTTTGGAAAGATTTGTTAAAGCATACCAAGGTATCAAAAGAATCACTAACTTTGGGATCACCAGCTGTGGACATCTCCTGCAAAACAAGGAGCTCATCAGGTACCTTGAGGAGAGCAAGTTTGATGCCATCCTTACAGATCCTGTTCTACTGTGTGGGGGAATCCTGGCGAAGCACCTTTCCCTTCCTTCTGTCTATTTCTTACGAGGAATTCCATGTGGATTAGATTTTGATGCCACTCAGTGTCCCAAGCCTCCTTCCTATGTCCCCAGGGGATTTACACAATTTACAGACCACATGACCTTTCTCCAGCGGGTGAAGAATCTACTTCATGACATCCCAAATCTTTTCCTCTGTGATTTTGCCTTTGAACCCTATTCAAAACTGGCTTCCGAGTTCCTGCAGCAAGATGTGACTGTGCTGGATCTCTTACGCCAGGCTTCAGTTTGGCTCCTGAGGTCAGATTTTGTTTTAGAGTATCCAAGACCCTTGATGCCCAACATCATTCCAATTGGAGGAGTAAACTGTGCTCACAAGGATCTGCCTCAGGTGGGTCACACTCTGTTTTAATTCATGCCATAATTGGTTCCTGTGTTCAGGAGGGGAGAATTTTTTATGCAATAGGCACTGAGTTTCTTTTTTGGGTGAGTGAGCTGAAAGGAATCGTGTATCTCTCCTTCTTCTTGACTTCCATATCCTGTGTAGGCAGTGGTTCCTTCTGGCTTTTAAAGAGTGCTCTGTTGAAGGGAATCACCAGGGTTTTCTGGTGAAAGTCTGTGATGGGACATTGATTCCACCAGCAGAGTGCCCAGCTCTGATGTCTGGAGCAGGTCTGATTTGACACATCCAGCAAGGCTTAACTGGCACTGATGGTTTGGGTTTGGGTTCGGCCGTGGTGATGATGCCAAACTTTGGGTTCCCTTGGATGCTGACAAGAACCCTGTGCAGTGTTCCTCCTGGAGAGCCTCCTCTGCTGCTCCAGGGGAGAACCTGGCGAGTTGGGTGAGTGCTTTTGGTGCCCTGCCTTTCTCTTCAGTCCTGTTCCTTAGGATTTGTTTGATGTGGGCTGGGATAATGAAATCCAATATGAGGCTATTCCACCCATCCCCAAGTCGGGGGGTGGCTGTGACGTGTGACAGACATCCCTGTACACACTGGGATTGGCCACGTGAGTATTCACACAACTCCACCACTGCTGGACACCATGGGTGCTATGTCAGTGACACAAACAGTGCCAGAATTAGGCTCTGAAGTGTTCTGTGGGAAGTCCCCCTCAAAAGTGCTGATAAATCTCTGCACAAAGCTCACAAAGCCAACCCTTGCATTCCTTGAGGCAGGTCTGAGGCACTGGAAATGATGCTTGATTTGTGCCCCATTTCCTGCAGAAACCTGGCATCATCCTTCCGTCTTCTCTGTTTTCTCTGACTCTAATTAGGCCCTGAATTTTTCTGGGAAAGCCTCCCTCTAAGAGTGTTGTCAGAATTTGACACTGGCTAGAAACTAGGCACCCACAAAAAACCATTTACTCATTCTCTTCTGCTATATTGGAGCAGAGGAGGGGGAAAAGAAAGACAAAAGGGGCTCATGAGTTGAGGTAAGGATTGGAAAGAAACACTTTAAGGGCAGAACAGGTTCAAAACTTAAAAGGTATAAAGAAAAATTTATTAACAGAATTAAAAGAGGATAATGAGAACTAAAATAAATCTTTAGAATACCTTCCCCTCCACCCCTCTTCTTTCTTTCCTTCCCGCCAAGAGTGCAGGGAGACAAAACATGGGGGTTTTAGTCAGTTTGTCAGCTGTTACGTCTAAAAATATTTCTTCAGTTTGCTTAGGGAGAGGAGTATCTTCTGCTATGCCATGGGGTCTTTTTCATGGAACAGTTCTCTGTGAACTTTTCCAAAGTGGTTCTAATTTTCACAAGTAGCAGTGACGCCCAGCCTGCTACAACATGAGTCCCTCCCACAGGTTCCTACACCTGTTTGCATTGGTAATTTTACTTCATGGCATGTAGTCTTTTAAGGATGAGCTGTTCTAGTTTGGAAGTAAGGGTCTTCTTTTTCTATCTCTGGAAGCAAGGGTCTTCTCTCTGTGTTCAAATTTCTCACTAGATCACAGCTGTGCAGCATCTGCACACTCCAGCGTGAGCACTCTTTCTCACGGGTATGGTTGTGTTCGCAGGGGTCCCAAGGCGTGGGAAGAGATGAGAATCTTGACTCCATGTTTCAGAAGGCTGATTTATTATATTATGATATTATATTATATTAAAATGCTATGCTAAAACTATACTAAAAGGAATACAAAGAAAGGATCCATCAAAAGGCTGGAAAGGAAAGCAAAGGAATGATAATAAAATCTTGTGACTGCTCACAGCCTCGACACAGGTGGCTGTCATTGGTCATCAAGTAAAAACAATTTCACATGCTGGGTAAACAATTCTCCAAATCACATTCCAAAGCAGCAAAACATGGAGAAGCTAAAGCTTCCCAGTTTCTCCGGAGAAAAGATCCTGGCAAAAGGATTTTTCATAAAATATGTCTGTGACACACGGACTGCAGGTGAACTCTGAATTCCCCCGTGCACTTCATAAATTACAGGAAAACCATTGTTTTTTAGACCTCACCACAGCATGCAGAAGAATCTCAGCTCCGAGGCCCGGAGCACCTCCTCCTCCCCATCCCTCCTTTTCACTGACCTTAGTGTCGCCATGTTGTTCTCCTCACGTCTTCACTCTTCCCTTTTCTCTGACTCGCGAGAGAATTGCCGTCCGTATGTTCATTTCTTCTCACATTCTATTAATTGAAAAGTTTTATAGAGTCCTGCAGCACTGAAAGGTTGATCTCATCCGGGCCCCACATGGGGGAATTGCTCGCCATGCCCCTCGCTGCTTGTCACATGGCTGCCGCCAGCACCACGCCAGCCACACCGGCTGCCGGCTTCGCTCAGCGCCTCTCCTCGTGCAGGGTGTTGTCACGATCCACTCGTGCAAGCGGGGGAATCGTGATGGTTCGTTAACTGATCTCAGAGTGCAAAAACAGCACGGAGAGGGGATTGCAGTATCAGTCAAAACAAATGCACCTTTTATTGAGTGCCCACAGGAAATGCGACAGAGGGATTTAGAAAGGAGATAAAAGATAGAGAGAGAGAGAAAGAGAGAGGGAGTATAACTACCAAACTGAGAGAGCTAATCTTTGATGGTCCAGACACGGGGAGAATTGTCACGTTGGGGAGATATCAAAATCCTGGTTAACTCAGGGATCTATTATAGGCCTTTGCTGACTGGGGGGAAACAGTTCTTGAAATCACCGAGGGGGACAGACACAATAAATAATAAACCTATTGAAATCACTTAGGGGGAAAAGGTATTGAAAACGGGTACAGACAGTCCATATTCTCTGCAGGATAAGTCAATATCAGCAGTGAGCAGGACCCATTGTTTCAGGACTGGTTTCTATGGGAAACTAGTCTAGGTCCAGTGAACACATCTGCAGGCAACGCTTAGCTGGCACCCCCCGTATCAGAATTATAGGGGTCTCAGTCTCAGTCCTTGGGAGGGGGCTTCAATCTCTATCTGTCACAGTGGTAGTGGAGCAGATGAAGGACTTTCTGTGGAGGGATGACCAAAATTGCCCCAGCAAGTTTATTTGGCCAAGAGGTGGGAAAATTCCTGGGCTATTGTCACGAAGCAGGTGTAAGCATATAGGGCATGTTGCCCCCGACAGGCCCTGCTAGAAGCAGTCACTGTAGGCACAGGTGCGAACAATCACTTGGCAGGCCACAATTCTGCTTAGGGGCCTCAGGATCTTGGCGTGCATCCACCACTGGCAGGCCAGAATTCCAATCAGGGTCCTCAGGGTCCCAGTCTCTGTCCTTGCAACGGTCGTGAGGCAAATGAAGGGAACTTCAGACCGTCTTTCACAGGTGTCAAAAAGGAAAAGCCGCTGCCGCCACTCCTGTCTCTTCTGCCCACAGCACAGCTAGCTGAAAGTGGCAAAGAAAGCACAGTTCACTGTGGATCGTGCAGGCATAGCCCTGGCTGCATGAGTACTCCCAGCGCCTGACCTGAGCACATGGCATCAGCTGTGTGGCCACTCACAGCACTGGGATGGCCCCACCTCGTGTCACAGCCCTGGCCAGGCTGGGAAGGAGCACAGTGGTCCCCTCACCACCCCACACAGGAGAGGAGGAAAGAGGACTTTCATGCATTTTCTCATTCTTAATTATGTCTTCTCAGAGGCGTTACTACTCGAATTGGCCAATGTGTCAGTTGTCAGAGCCTTCAGGGATTGGCTCTGGTGGATGGAGTGGAAGTTTTGATGAGCTTCTCTCTCAGAAGTAGCCTCTGTGGCTTCCTCTGCCCCCAATAAAAGCCAGAATGTGTGAAAATAATACAAGAGTTCATAAATCTCTTCTCAGAAACCTGGCATCATCCTTCCACCTCTCCTGTCATCTCAGGCTGGAAATCATCTTAAAGAACTGTTCCACAGCTGCTGTGTGGTCTGGGTCACCTACAGATGAGCTTTCATCTCCTAGAGATGAACTCCCCAAGTGAGAGGGGACAGGCCTTGATTGTGGGAAAGGAGAAGCCTCTGCAGGTTTGAACGGTGATGTGCACGAGACACATCTCCTACACGTGACACATCTCCTGAACATGCAGAAGGTCCAGCCAGACGGAAGGAACCAAAGTGCAGTCCCAGAGCCACCCCTGCCTCCTTCCTGGGGCACTCTTTACTGTTCCTCTGATAGAGATAGATGGGAGTTATCTGGTAATTCTATGGACTTGGCAGGAATTCTGTGCTTGGTATGCAACCTTTTATCATATCAGGGATTACACATTCACCGCCCAGCACATTAAATAAAGATGCACGGTTGGGCTGTGCCACAGATCATTTGAAAGCACAGACTGGGTGCTGGAGCTCTGGTGCTCTTGGGGTTTCCTTCCCTGGAGGCCCTCAGCTGATCCCTGCAGGAATGGCCCCGGGGCTCAGTGCTTCTCCAGCAGTTGTGCTTCTGCTCCTGTCCCTGCTGGGTCTGGCTGCTGCTGGGAAGCTCCTGGTGGTGCCGGTGGACGGGAGCCACTGGCTGAGCATGCGGGAGGTGCTGGACATGCTCCAGCAGAAGGGACATGAGGTGGTCGTGGTGGCACCTGAAGTCTCCATGCACCTCAAACAATCAAAGAACTTTGTGATGAAAATGTACCCTGTTCCCTACACAAAGGAAGAGATGGAGAAAGATTTCAAAGCATTTTTTCATGGTTCGTTTGAAGAAGGTACTTTTTTTGGCAGATTTTTTCACTTACTTGAAGGTATGAAAAGACTCGGTAACTTTTGGGTCTCCAGCTGTGAACAGCTCTTGCAAAACAAAGAGCTCATCAGGTACCTTGAGGAGAGCAAGTTTGATGCCATCCTTACAGACCCTTTCGTGCCCTGTGGGGTGATCCTGGCTGAGCATCTTTCCCTTCCTTCTGTCTATTTCTTAAGAGGAATCCCGTGTGGGTTGGATTTTGATGCCACTCAGTGTCCAAATCCTCCTTCCTATGTGCCCAAGGTGTTTACAGACCTTACAGACCGCATGACCTTTCTCCAGCGAGTCAAGAATCTGCTCTTTGACATCCCAAATATTTTCCTCTGTGATTTTGCCTTTGAACCCTACTCAAAACTGGCTTCAGAGTTCCTGCAGAGGGAGGTGACTGTGCAGGATCTCTTACGGAAGGGCTCTGTTTGGCTCCTGAGGTTAGATTTTGTGCTCGACTACCCAAGACCCTTGATGCCCAACATCATTCCAATTGGAGGAGTAAACTGTGCTCACAAGGATCTGACTCAGGTGGGTCACACTCTGTTTTGATTCATGCCATGATTGGTTCCTGTGTTCAGGAGGGTGGAATTCTCTGTTGTGATAGGTATCAAGTTTCTTTTTTGGGTGAGTGAGCTGAATCCTCACGAAAGGAACTGTTTTTCTCTCACTTCTGATTTTCCACATCCTTTGTAGGCAGCTGTTCCTTCTGGCTTTTAATTGGTTTGTAGTTGAAGGGAATCACCAGGGTCTTCTGGTGAAGGTCTATGGTGGGCTGTTGATGCCACCAGCAAAGGGATTATCAGAATTTGTGGACAGTAGGACAAAGTGTAGGGTTCCTTTAATGACCATCTCCAATGGGATGTCCCAGAGACTGTTAGAAACTCTTTCCTGGCTCCAAATCCCAACCCTGATGCCTGGAGCAGGTCTGATTTAACACATCCATTACAGCTTGACTGGCAGTGAGGGTTTGGGTGTAGCCTTGTGCATGATACCAACTGCTCCAATGTGCCGTGTGCTTGGGTTCCCTGGGATGCTGGCAAGAGCCCTGTGAGAGTTCCTCTGGACAGTTTCTGTTCTTCTCTGGGGGAGAGCCTGGAGAATTGGATGAGTGCTTTTGGTGCCCTGGTTTTCTCTCCATTCATATTCCATAGGAGTTGTGTGGTGCAGGGTGGGATCACAAAGCCCAATGTGTGGCAATTCCACCCAGCTTGAAGAACAGAGATAGCTGTGACAATTTATGGACATCCCTGTGTACAATGGGATTGGCCACCTGAGCATTCACACAACTCCACCATGGCTGGACACCATGGGCACTTTGTCAGGGACAAAACCAAGGCCAGAATTAGGCTCTGAAGTGTTCTGTGGGAAGTCACCCTCAAAGAGAGTTTGTAAATCTCTGCACAGAAACCTGGCATCATCCTTCCACCTCTCCTGTCATCTCAGGCTGGAAATCATCTTAAAGAACTGTTCCACAGCTGCTGTGTGGTCTGGGTCACCTACAGATGAGTTTTCCAAGTGAGAGGGGACAGGCCTTGATTGTGGGAAAGGAGAAGCCTCTGCAGGTTTGAACGGTGATGTGCACGAGACACATCTCCTACACGTGACACATCTCCTGAACATGCAGAAGGTCCAGCCAGACGGAAGGAACCAAAGTGCAGTCCCAGAGCCACCCCTGCCTCCTTCCTGGGGCACTCTTTACTGTTCCTCTGATAGAGATAGATGGGAGTAACCTGCTGATACTATGGATTTGGCAGGAATTCCGTGCTTGTTCTGCAACCATTTATCATATCAGGGATTACACAATCACCGCCCAGCACATTAAATAAGGCTCCACAGTTGGGCTGTGCCACAGATCATTTGAAAGCACAGAGCAGTCGCCAGTGCTCTGGTGTCTTGGGGATTTCCTTCCCTGGAGGCACTCAGCTGATCCCTGCAGGAATGGCCCCGGGGCTCAGTGCTTCTCCAGCAGTTGTGCTTCTGCTCCTGTCCCTGCTGGGTCTGGCTGCTGCTGGGAAGCTCCTGGTGGTGCCGGCGGATGGGAGCCACTGGCTGAGCATGCGGGAGATGTTGGACATGCTCCAGAAGAAGGGACACGAGGTGGTTGTGGTGGCACCTGAAGTCTCCATGCACGTCAAACCATCAAAGAACTTTGTGATGAAAATGTACCCAGTCCCCTTCACAAAGGAAGAGTTGGATAAAGCATTCCAGGCCTTTTTTCATGGTTCTTTTGAAGAAGGTTGGGTTTTGAAAAGATTATTTAAGTTGCACAAAGGTATGAAAACCCTTACTGACTGTTGGATCACCAGCTGTGAGCAGCTACTGCAAAACAAAGAGCTCATCAGGTACCTTGAGGAGAGCAGGTTTGATGCCATCCTTACAGACCCTGTAGCAACTTGTGGGTTGATCCTGGCTGAGCATCTTTCCCTTCCTTCTGTCTATTTCTTACGAGGAGTCCCGTGTGGGTTAGACTTAGATGCCAGGCTGTGTCCCAGTCCTCCTTCCTATGTGCCCAGGGTGTTTACAGACCTTACAGACCGCATGACCTTTCTCCACCGAGTCAAGAATCTGCTCTTTGACATCCCAAATCTTTTCCTCTGTGATTTTGCCTTTGAACCCTACTCAAAACTGGCTTCAGAGTTTCTGCAGAGGGAAGTGACTGTGCAGGATCTCTTACGGAAGGGCTCTGTTTGGCTCCTGAGGTTGGAATTTGTGTTAGAGTATCCAAGGCCCTTGATGCCGAACATCATTCCAATTGGAGGAGCAAACTGTGCTCACAAGGAGCTGCCTCAGGTGGGTCTTAATCTGTGCCTTGATTGATTTCTGTGTTTAGGAAGGTGGAATTCTGCGATAGAAATGAAGTTCCCATTTCACTCAGGTTTCTAATGAGTGAGGTGAATCCTCAGTAAAGGTACTTTTTTCCTCCCACTTTCTTGCTGACTTTCCACATCCTGTGTAGGCAGCTGTTTCTTCTGGCTTTTAATTGGTGCTCAGTTGTAGGTAAACACCAGGGTCTTCTAGTGACCCTGTACTAAGGATCTGTGATGGGACATTGATTCTGCCAGCCAAAGGGATTCTGAGCATTTGTGGACAGTAGAACAAAGTTTTGGATTTGTATAATGAGCAGTTCCAATGGGATCTCCCAGAGAAACTTAAAAACGTTTTTCTGTCTCCAAAGCCCAGATCTGATGCCTGGAGCAGGTCTGATTTGACACATCCAGCAAGGCTTGACTGACACTGAGGGATTAGCTGCAGTCTTGCCCATGATACCAACCAGTCAAATATGCCATGTGCTTGGGTTCCCTGGGATGCTGACAAGAGCCCTGGCCACAGGGCCTGCTGGAGAGCCTCCTCTGCTGCTCCAGGGGTGAGCCTGAGAAGTTGGATGAGTGCTTTTGGTGCCCTGGCTTTCTCTTCATTCACATTCCTTAGGATTTGTGTGGTGTAGGGTAGGATCCCAAAGCTGCTGTGGCTATTCCACCCATCCCCAAGTGTGGGGGAGGCTGTGACATGTGGCAGACATCCCTGTACACACTGGGATTGGCCACGTGAGTATTCACACAACTCCACCACTGCTGGACACCATGGGTGCTATGTCTGTGATTAAAACAATGCCAGAACTAGGTCCTGAATTGTTCTGTGAAAAGACCCCCTCAAAAGTGCTGATAAATCTCTGCACAAACCTCCTAGCTCACAAAGCCAACCCTTGCATTCCTTGAGGCAGGTCTGAGAAAATGATGGAAATGATGCTTGATTTGCACCACATTTCCTGCAGAAACCTGGCATCATCCTTCCATCTTCTCTGTCTTGTTACTATAGAAACCATCTTAAAGAGCTGTTCCGCAGCTGCCATGGGGTCTGGGTCTCCTAGAGATGAGTTTTCCAAGAGAGAGGCAGAGAGGCACACTCCTACAGGGACAGACCTTGCCTGAGGCAACGAAGAAGCCTCTGCAGGTCTGAATGGTGATGTGCATGTGACACATCTCCTACACGTGACACATCTTCTGAACATGCAGATCCAAAGTGCTGTCCCAGAGCCAGCCCTGCCTCCTTCCTGGGGCACTCTTTACTGTTCCTCTGATAGAGATAGATGGGAGTTATCTGGTGATTCTGTGGACTTGGCAGGAATCCCATGCTTGTTCTGCAACCATTTATCTTATCAGAGATTACACATTCACCGCCCAGCACATTAAATAAAGATGCACGGTTGGGCTGTGCCACAGATCATTTGAAAGCACAGAGCAGGCACCAGTGCTCCAGTGCTCTTGGGGATTTCCTTCCCTGGAGGCACAGGATCTCTTACGGAAGGGCTCTGTTTGGCTCCTGAGGTTGGAGTTTGTGCTAGAGTATCCAAAACCCTTGATGCCCAACATCATTCCAATTGGAGGAGTAAACTGTGCTCATAAGGAGCTGCCTCAGGTGGGTCACACTCTGTTTTTAATTTGTGCTGTGATGAATTGCTGTGTTCAGGAGGCTTGAATCCTGCACTGCAATTGGCAATCGAGTTCCGATGTTGAGGGGTTGGATGAGTGCTCAGGAATTTTTCTCTCCCTTTCCTTTTGTAGGCAGCAGTCCTGTACCTTCTCACCTCTAAAGTGTGCTCTGCATTTGCTGTTTTCATTTCACGTATCCAGAGCCGCTTTGTGTGACTGTGTAACTTGGTGGTGTCTTAGTGAGTGACGAATGCGTCTGTGGGGATGTGAAAGCCTTGCAGTCAGGTGCAACCCCTAATTAGCAATTTGTTGTAGTTGGGTCTGGTGTTTACTGAGAAATGCACCTCAGGCTTCTGTCCTTGTTGCCTCACTACGTCTTTCTTTGCTGGTGAATTTTTTGTGCTTCTTCACCTGGGTATTTCCAAAGCTGGAATCTGGAGGAAGGTGTCCGGCTGGGGGCTCTCAGGTTGAGAAGCAGCCCTTCTGTTTGCAGGCAGATCTAGGAAAACTTTGGGTTGCTGATGATGGCTGTGCGAGGCGTAATAGCCAATTTCAGAGGTCGCAGGGGCTACAGTGGCTTGGCAGGTGGCGCTCAAATATGACAAAAGTGCCAAAGGTTTTGTTATAAAACACGAGGCTTATCTGGTGCATCCCTCACATTTATCAGCTGCCTGAACTCTGTTGCTGGTTATGCAGCCTTTTATTATATTAGGGATTACACATTTACCACACGGCAGATAAAGCATGGATACAAATTTGGGCCGTAGCAGAGATTGCTTAGAAGCACGGAGCAAGTGCCAGAGCTCCTGTGCTGCTGCGGGTTTCCTTCCCTGGAGGCACTCAGCTGATCCCTGCAGGAATGGCCCCGGGGCTCAGTGCTTCTCCAGCAGTTGTGCTTCTGCTCCTGTCCCTGCTGGGTCTGGCTGCTGCTGGGAAGCTCCTGGTGACATGGGTGGATGGGAGCCCCTGGCTGAGCATGCGGGAGGGGTTGGACATGCTCCAGAAGAAGGGACACGAGGTGGTCGTGGTGGCACCCGAAGTCTCCATGCACATCAAACCATCCAAGAACTTTGTGATGAAAATGTACCCGGTCCCCTACTCCCAGAAGGAGATGGACAATGCATTGAAGGAATTTTTCCATATCATGTTTGAAGAAGGATCTTTTCTGGAAAGGTATTTTAAAGTATTTCAAGCTGTGAAAAAATTCACTGATTTTGGATTCTCCAGCTGTACAAGTCTCCTGCAAAACAAAGAGCTCATGAGGTACCTTGAGGAGAGCAAGTTTGA